GTAGTAGTAGTAGTAGTACCAACAACACTAACAATCACATTTAAAATATGAATAATACAGTAATAGTAGTAGTAACAACAATAACTATCATAGGAATAATATCAATACACATTACATGATTGAGGTGCTCCCACAACCTTTTTGCAGGAAGCCCCAAACTATGCTTTTCCGTCCATGTAGCTACTTTCCAGAATAAGGTCCCACCCAAGCATGGTGATGTCGAATAGCTCGAGGCCCTAGGCCCATGTACCGGCCTGCACGTCTGAAATTCTACCTGGCACTCCTGACAAATGCACATCTCTTGGACCGTCCTCGTCTCATAGCCCTCTTATCCCTTCCCTCTGAAGGCGTGAACCCTAAAGCCCTAGACCCCTNNCCTAAACCCTAAACCCAATTCCTAAACCCCATGGCCCAGGGCTACTCCGGACTCTGGATCGTCCTTCGAATCATTGGTACCACCTGGCCGAGTGCTGTGCCTCCGGCGCTTCTGGCTGCCGGTGCCCTCGGTTGCAAAGTTCTATGAGGGTTTCCGAAAATCCCCTAAATAGTAGGATCCTGATTATAAGGACCCCAAAATAAGGTACCCCTTATTGTTGGAAACTCCCCTATGAGCTTCAGGGGCTGAAGGCCTTAGGTTTAGGGCCTTAATAGGGTTTAGAGTTTGAGGAGGCTTCAGGGTTTTCGAGTTTCGAAGCTCTATGCTTTTCAGTTAGGGATTCAACTTTATTCCATGCATGGCTGCCGAAGGCTTCGCGGGTTGGCTTTCGGCTTAGGTTTTTTTTTTCAGAATCTTCTGAGATGCTCCAAGCTTTATAGCTGTCGGCTTGGTTCAGCGATGCTGTGCATTGGGGGCTTGCAGCCAGGGTGGAGAGGTGGAGGTTCCAGGAGTGCATGCATTTCATGTAACACAAGCTACAGCTTTACGCGGGAGTCATGCACGCTGGCAACAGTCAGAGCCCAATGCTCTTTGAGGACCAGCCTGCGAGCATCTCCAGCCGTCATTAGCCACTCAACATACATGGCTTCATGATGGAATTGTCTTGAGGAATCAGCGTCTTCATGGGTGTCTACTCAGACATTGATGTGTACACCAGAGACAGGGAGGCCTTCCTTGGCCACCCTTATGCCTTCCGGCTGTTTTCGGCAGTGGTGACCAATCTGCTGATCTTCAAGATGAATGCGGCGTACCAGCGGTACTGGGAGGCGGGGCTCGGAACCGTCGGATGTTTTCTTACCGTTGCTTCAGGGAAGGCTAGACCCGAGTGCCCCAAAAGATCCCAAAAGTCCGCTTTCAGCTCTTAGGTCTCCGGGTATTTTGCGCAGATTTTTGCAGGCTGCCGGAGCCATGCAATCCATGGCCACCAAATGGCTGGACGGTGCGTGCATGGCGGTCACCTTCGATGCGGCAGGCCTCCGAAGTCTCCTCCCTGGTTCACTCGGACGGAAGAACCTACTGTGGTGACGATGTGACGGTGTTGAGGACCACCGACGGCGATGATGCTGGTGGTTGTGATTGTGGTGATCATGGTGAGGATGGTGGTGCAGACTTTTGATGCTGATGACGGTAGTGATGGTTCTTGTGGAAGTGCCTGAGGGGTTGTTATGAGGCTGCTGCTCAAAATTGCTGACAATCACTCTGATCGCAAATGCATCGGCTGTGACCTTCGTAGTTGCAGAAGCACTGGTTCTGGGCGCATGGGTACGCAGAAATGCAGTTGTGCACTCGTGAAAACGAGTTGCAGAGTAGTGGGTTAGAGAAAACAGATCGACACACAGTTCCAGAGTATAACAGCAGTAGCGACTGTTGTAGAGCATGGACAGCAATAGAGACCTCTTCGCAGTCTTTCTGTCTTTCTGGTTGTGGTGTTGACGATAGCTCCCATGCTACTGGCAGCGTGTGCCAGGAAATGTAGCAATCTGAGTAGCGGCATCAGTGGGTGTTCCGACAATCGAAAGAGTAATGCCAGCTTTCGCAGTATCACGTCCAGTTCAATAGTAATTAGAATGCTAGGACTAGGAATAGATGGCAGTGGTAGCATCAGTGATGATGATACCAATCACAATATTGGTCCCAGTTAGTTGTTTGCTGCAATTATGGTTCGTTCCGTTGATGCTCACTTAGATTATGATCCTTCTGTGGTGGCCGCAGCTTGTGTTCCGATTCGTGTCTCTACGCGGTTTTCATATGTACATTCATCGACGCATACACTCACACACCCACATATGCATGCATGCATGCATGCATGCATGCATGCAGAGGTTTGTGCCCATATATGTCCAAAAAACGCAAATTCGGAGTAGTGTTCATGCAGCCATTGGGCTGGGGGTCCAGTTGGTTGTGTCTGTGAGAAGGCGAGCCCCTGCGTCTGTCAGCACAGGTGATTCCGACAATCCCTACCTGAGCGGCAGTGAGTGGCAGAGGACCCAGCCAACTCAGTCGTGCTAAATCCTTCTTCATTACACAGCTCAATCTGGGGTTTTCTGTTGCCAAACTTTGTTGGCAACAGCTGTATCAGCAATTGAACATGGTCACAAAATCTTAAACCCCAAAACTTGTCCGGGTTCTTGTTAAGTTCCTTAAACTTGATCGGATCTATAGGGTTTTTTCCAGGGTTTCCTAGGGTTTAGTAGGGTTTCCTACTTCTGGTCCCCTAAACCCTAAACCCTAAACACTAAACCCTAAACTTATGGTAACTTAACTTCGAATTCCTTCACATGGCCTTTGCAGGAGCTCCGCACCTGATCCCAGCAGTAGCAAGGAGCCTCGGCAGCAGATTTCTATCAAAAGGGTCGTAATAAGGAGTAGTAGTATAATAGTATCCCCTTATAGTCACTATGGCATCTCCTAGATAAGTATACTAGATGGAATCTTTAATTGGTAATCATGGCGCCTTATGCTGGTATTTGTAGTCTAACATACACCCAAACCCTATTCTAGCTACTAAGGCCCCTTACATCAGACATGCAGAATCTGGGAGTAACTCGTTGAAGAAGGTTTCAGTCTGTTTCGTAAGTGTGCAATTGTTCACTTTCACCGCTGGCTTAGTTTTGCTGACATGTGGAAAGCAATCCTGTACCAATCACAAAAAGGAGAACAGATAAGAGCCAGTGCACCTAACATGGCCTTCGCAGGGCGGCCCCGATCACACCGAGTATGTCGGGGATGTCCTGCATCTCTGCAGCCTGCTCCATGCGGTGACGCTTCTTCACCTAAGAAGAGATTCGAATCTGGACAACCTGGTGCCCTCCAAGCTGGGGCCAAGCAAGTTGCCTGAAAATGGGAGCGGTGGGGAGGTAGGAGTCGCGTGCGCATGAAACGCGAGAGACACTGCAAGCAGTATTGTTCTGCACAGATGTCTGGTAGACACTCTGATATTTTGTGCATCCATTCGCGAAGTGTTTTCGGCCTAGACTGTGTGGTGTTTTGTGTTGTAGTATATGATATATAGTACATGATATAGTGCAGGCACTATGCCGAGCTTCCCTAGCTTTGTCTGGCTAAGGGCACACCATCATGCCAAGCAGCCCGTCTTTCTGGTCCGAGAGGTGGGCCTTGCCGAACTTGCAATCAATAGCAAGAGAATATATCATGTGCATCCTCTTCATCAGGGATTAAGGGTGTCATTAGGGGCTAGGGCGTCATCCTATTCTTCTGCAGAGTGTACCTTATGTTGCTGAGCTTTGCATGATGTACAAGAAGTACGTATCGGCTGGGTTTGTAAGGTTTGTAACATTCGACGTTTTTCGGTAGATAGATCCCTACCGTACTTGCTGGACATAAGCATTTCGCTGCGGTACGCTGACCATGGCATCGCAGTGCGTTACACTGCGTTGCGATCCGCTGCCTTGCTCTAGCAATCCCTGAGCAGCATGACCTTGCCCGAATCTGGCCTTACCCTTCGTCTTGGCGAGTATGCACGGCAGTTGATGCTGGCGTCATGGCTTGCAACAGGTGCGCTTAGGTAGAGGGTCTGGAAATGCTGCATGTGCAGGTCCATGTTCTCTCCGGAACACATTTCGGACCTCTACAAGATTCAGAAGATCCCTGTCTTGGGCGGCTTGCGGCCGGAGGACAGAGGGCTTGAGTGGATGCCAGGAAGGTCTTCGAAGCAGGGTTTCCGGGCTTTTGCGAGCAGAGCTGCCTCATCATGGAGACACACGGGGAAGGAGTAAAGGGGACCATTCACGTAGGGACCAGTTCGAGCGCATGCTGCCGTTTTGAAGCCGCATTTTGCAACACAGGCCCGGCCCTGTATAGATCTTGACTTGTGACCCACACTGAGCTGCCGATGGCGCCCATGGCTGACAAGGAGGCGGACGATGTACTGTCCCGCGCCGGGATTTCCAGCGATCTGCGTCAAAAGCAAGGAAAGGGCGGCTGCCTGACGGTCGTCGCAGTGGCTCTCTTCTCCTCCTTGGCAGGGTTGCTGATGGGTTTGGACATTGGCTACATGGCCGGGGTGAAGTCGATGGAGAGCTTCTCCCAAGACGTTCTGAATGGAAATCCAATGACTGGGATGCAGGACAGCCTCATCACAATGATCTTCGGTGCTGGGGCGGCTGTTGCCTGCTTCCCACCCCTCATGGACTTCGTGGCCGGGAGGTTGGGCCGAAAGGGCACGCTGATTGTCGGTGGGAGCCTGTTCTGCCTGGGATCTGTGGTCCAGGCTGCGTCCTTCGACATCTGGACGATGACTGCTGGCCGCTTCGTGGCGGGCCTCTCCGTCGGATTGCTCTCAGGCAATGCGCCCATCTACACCAGCGAAATCGCGCCACCTGCAATGCGTGGGCGTCTCGTGGCTGGCTTCCAGTTCGCCGTGACGGTTGGGATCATGGTGGCTTTTCTATTGGCTCTGGCCTTCGAGGAGGTGGTGGAGCCGTTCAGCGGCTGGCGCTGGCTCATCGCCGTGCAAGTCATCCCAGGAGTACTCCTGATCCTTGGTGGCATCATCCTCCCCGGATCGCCGAGGTACTTGGTATCCCGTGGAAAGAACACAGCAGCCTTCAACGCCTTACTCCGCCTTCGAAGCAAAGAGCAAGATGTTCGATCTGAGTTCGCGGAGATCCTCTTAGAGCAAGAGGAGGAAGAGGGCAGAGGCCAGGCTACCTGGAAGGAGTTCTTGTCAGGAGACAATGCAAAGCTCTTGGGCATCGGCCTCGCGATTCAGCTGCTCGGCCAGCTGTCTGGCATGAACGCTTTCATGTACGATGGTCCCCTGATCTTCGAGAGGCTTTTCCACAGCCCTCATGCCGGGCGACTCTTCACAGCAATTGCCGGTGCAGTGAACATCCTCGCCACGATTCCGGCCATCCTTCTGGTGGACCGATTTGGCCGAACCTCTCTAATGAAATGGTCGGCTGTGGGCATGTGCCTTTGCTCCGGCATTCTCGCCATAGTCGGCGATTTTTGCCTCGCAGACGAGGACAACCTTACTTGTGGCCCGTGGTCGCAGTGGACAGCCACGCTGGCTGTTTGTGGCTTCATCCTGAACTTTGCCTATGGCTGGGGTGGTATGCCTTGGGTCTACTGCGCGGAGATGTTTCCGCTGAGCCACCGCACAAAGGGAGTCGCTGCCACCACGGATGCGAACTGGATTGGGAACATGCTCATCGCCTTCATGACACCGATCCTCATGGAAAGCTGGAACTTCAACTTCTTCTGGGTGTTGGTTGCCACGAACCTGCTCGGAGTTTATTGTGCCATGTCTGTGCCAGAAACGAAAGGCAAGAGCCTGGAGGAGATCAACGTCATGTTTCGTGAACTCTTCAGTGGGCAGCAGAAAGCACTGGGTTCCGGTTCCGGCGCATAGCGGACCGGTAGTGCCCCTTTATGTCCAAGTCTTCAAGAGTCTGTGCTTGCAACGTCCACTTCCCAGCTTTGGGATGGCAATCCCTTGCCTAGCCGAAGACTAGCCAAGAGAGTGCTCCAGCGAAGCCCAAGCTCGCTGGGATTTTGGGGCCCCTCCTCTCCGGCCCGTGTACAGCTGCCACCTTTTTTCATCTCTTTTCATCAGATGCATGAGGCCCAGGCTTTTAAACTGCCATTCCTGGCCCTCGCACTACACCGCGCGAGCCAATACCCCTTTCCAGCAAGGGCTGGCAGGATCTTACTCAACAGAGGTTCCGAGCGCAGCTTGCAGCGGCAGTGCAATCAAAAAGCAGCTAGCGTTCAGCAGCAGAACTTGGGAGTGCTAGCCTACTCGTAGCCTACATAGGGTGGTGTCCGGCGAAGTGGCCGCCAAGGAAGTTGAATCCAGTGATTTAGCGTTTTGTTCAGCGAAACGCTACAGCCTAGATAAATGTTACTCCCTATTGTGGGAGAGGTGAGGCTGGGAAGTGGGGGCTCGGCACTGTAAGGCGTTCCTGATGCATGCGTGTGAAGACGGAAACAAACGCAGATCAAACACAACCAAAAGACCATGAACAAAGTACAACGCGAGTCCTCAGCCCTGAAGCCTACGAACCACCAAATTTAACAGCTTGACGTGTCGGAAGTGTGTAAGTTGCCAGGAAAAGGCGGTGCTCCTGAGCGACGGCAAAGGTCAGTCACTTCCGACCTTTGCACGAGCTGCCATGGTGGCTGCCCCAGCATTGGTAGTCTAGGTGGCAATTTGGGAAACTTTAAAATTTTCCCTTATGGTTTCTAAAGAGGTACCTATTCATAAATACTTTTCAGGGCCCCAAAACTACAACCCAGTAATGCTTGGGATCTGAAGCCAACCACGATCCAAAGCTTTTTTGGGGGGAAATGAGCGGACCTTTGACCGACTTTGACATGGCCATGATCTAGGAGGTGCCGGGTTTGTTCCTGAAGCCCGGACCTCCAACGAGATCCAACACTGCACGGCGCAAAAACTTGCACTGATAGAGACCCTCAGCACTGTATACAACTCTGTAGAACCCATAAGAGAGCGCAATGCAACCCTAAGTGAACCTTCAACCTTTCTCTGTTCCTTCTCTCTTTGTTTCTGTCTGCTGTCTCTGCTATTTTTCTGCTGTCTCTATGGTTTCTCTGCCTCGGTGTCTCTGCCCATCTCTGTCTGTTTCTTGCCGTCTGCCTGCCTGCGTGTCTTTCAGTCTCAGTGTGAAGCTCTCTTTACCTTTCTCTGTTAGGTGTCTTTTTTCTCTGTCTCTGTCCCTGTCTCTGAACACGCGCACATGGCAACCCGGTGGAATCCTGCAGGTGGAGGGGTGGTTCATGCGGCGGCTGATCGGCCGGCAGAAGTTCGAGCAAGGCCGGACACCCTAATGTAGGAACCTGACGAAGAAACCCTGGCCGTATAGGCCCAAAATATTCCGATCCATATACAGAACCCTAACAAAGGGCCATGGTTTCTTAATCAGGTTCCTTTAGTATGCAAACGCTGACGATCTCACAATGGGGCTCATCCACTTCTTGATGTTTCTCAGACATGTGTGACATATACGTTCAAGAGCAAGTGGGAGGCTCGTTGCGGCCCTTCGGGAGAGATGCTTGTTTTCTTAACTTCTGCGAATTTGGTATTGCTTCCCGGATGGGACTGGGCCGGGACGAAATGGATCTTGCCTGTGCGAAGCTGCCAATGATGGTGTAGTCGTGGCCAACCGGATTGATGCTCAAGACGATAAACCTGTCGTCGTCGGTACTGGCTTTAGCTCGGCTGATGGTGCGAATCTTCTATAATTCTATAATTTCGACGGTAACGATCCTGTTCAGACAGCATCATTTCCAGCTTCAGAAGAGATGTCCTTTCCGTCAATTTTTGCTACTGATATTTCAGAGATGACGAGGTTTTCCCTAAACCCTAAGCCCCTAAACCCCTAAACACTAAACCCTAAACCGTAGGTCATTGTAGGCCCGGAGCAAACTCCTCGGTTAACGCGTTTTGGGGGAGTTCTGGGAAGGGAAATGCCAGGAAGCTCTGGGAGCCTGGGTTGCCCACCAAGATTTTAGGGTTTAGAGTTTCGGGTTTAGGGTTTGGGGTTTTGGGTTTGGGGTTTAGGGTTTAGGGTTTTAGGGCCGTGGGTTTAGGGTTTTGGGTTTAGGGTTGAGGGCTCAGGGTTTATGAGATCGCATGAGCATGAAGCGTCACCTGAGAAGCGGCTTGGACTGGGCGGTCTGGCGTTTGGGGTTCAGGATTTCAGGTTTTCTTTTCTATCTACGCAGCCAGGGGAGTGAAAACGAAAACACTCCAGGAGTGAGGGCAGGTGTTCCCATTTGGGGAGGGCCAGCTTCTCAAACGCATGGACGGGGAGGTCTACAGCAATCTCAAGATCACAAAGCTTGCCAAAAAGCGGGCTTCAGAATAGCTTCTGGGGGCTATGTTAGAGTACGTATACTGAGCCGGGGGCTACAAGTGGAGATTCTTATTATAAGCATGACCTAATATATACATGCAGACTTGCGTAACCTTCTGAAAGGTGAGACTTCCAAGACTTCGCCCCCGATCCTGAGCCGACTGTACCAGGCCTTGGAATGGACGGAAAAGTGAAATTTTCGGGGCTGAGAGGTCTAGACCACCTCGCTCTTTTGGGGTATTGGGAATAGGTTTCATGGTTTAGGGTCTCGGGTTTCCGAGCTTTTAGGCCGTTTGGGGGGGCTCAGCGGTGTGGCCTCTGGGATTTCGGATTGAAGGTGTATGTCTATGTTTTGCGAAGAGTTGCTGGGATTGCTAGGGTTGCGGAAGGTTTCCGGATTTGGGGCTCAAGTACTCAAGTCACAAGGCCTCGGCTTGGATTGTTCGGTTCTACCGTCCGTTCTGCTTCGTAGTGACCCGGGAGCTTGGACCTCACCCCTAGACCCTAAAGCTAAACCACGACCTCTATAGACACGTTTCTCAGAGTTGTTACAAGTGTCCCAAAGTGACCCAACTCTGATGTCGAAGGTGATCTCAGATGGTACACTGTGGTCGTCCACAGCTGCAAAGAGCGAACCTTGCCCTCCGAGCTCGAGGGTTTCTTTTAGAATAGTGCTCCGGATGAGGAGGGTTTAGGGTTAGGGATTTCGTTTAAGGTTTTAGTTTAGGGTGTAGGGTTTAGTTTAGGGTGTAGGGTTTCGGGTCGAATCTGGAGGGCTATCCACAGCAAGTTGCTAAGCTCTTAGCAACCCACCTGAGGACAACCCCTAGCCGCAGATCTTCTTCTTGAAGTTTGGGGTGGCCCTGCTTGCTGTTACATGGGTAGCGATCGATGCCTTGAATCGAGCTTGAATCTGGCTAGTTAAACCCTAAACCCTAAACTATTTAAGCCCTAAACCCTAAACCATTGTGCTGCTAACGGCCGCTCCGAATTCCTTCTCATTTCCTGCTTGCTGCATCCTGATCCTGTCGCTCTCTTTCCTTGACATGTGTTGTTGTCGGTTGCCTTCTTCCTGAAGTTGTCGTTGTTTCTCTACAATCACCCTAAACCCTAAACCCATAAACTCTAAACCTCCAAAGCCCTCAGAGCTCATCCCCTTGCCGTGCCGAGTCGGAGATTCCTTTCCCCTTCCCCTACCAGAACTTCGTGGAGGCCGGCTCTTCATAAGTTGCTTGAAGGGTTTAGGGAATCAGGGCTTAAGGGTTTAGGGTTTCGGGAATCAGGGTTTAAGGGTTTAGGGTTTAGCAAATCAGGGCTTAAGGGTTTAGGGTTTAGGGAATCAGGGCTCAGGGCTTTACGGGTTGTGGATTTCCTTTGGGTGTAGGTCTAGCGTTCTTAAGTTTAGGTCTGTTGCTCCGACCGGCGGTTCGAGACCCCAGACTTTCAGACCTAAGCCTTTAACACGAAACCCCCAATATCACTGACCCATCATTGTCAGGCGAAGCCCTACCTAGACCCCAAAAACCCTAAACTCCAACACCCCTAAAGCCTTAAACCCTAAACCCCTAAAGCCTAAACTGAAATAGGGGTTTCGGGTTGAGGTTTAGGGCTTTCCGGATTGTTTTTTTTGGGTTCAGAGTTTGGGGGTTTGGTGCTAGGCTCGCTTCCCCAAGCAGAGCCCTGTGGGGGGACGCTGGATGCTAGGGCTCAAGCTGGCAAGTCGGTTTTCGACTGCCGGCACAGGTTCAAAACGGCATAGTTTCTGCTGCCAGGGCTGCGATGGCCTCGGTTTGGAAGCAGGTAGCTGCTGCTGCCAGCGGGCTGTGCGAGAATAGGGGGTGCACGTCGGACCGACCGTCGAGCACAGAAAACATGCTGAAAGAGCAAGTGCTCCAGCTGCAGGCGGCTCTCGAAGAGATGCGGAATTTGCTAAACCATGAACAGACGATCTCACAGGAGTTGCGAGCACAGCTGAAAGAGGAGCGAAGGAGAATTCAGCTGAGCAGCCAAGAGCAGCGGAATGCCCGGAGGCGGCCCTCTTGGAAGCGCTCCTTGCAGACAGAATGAGGCTAGCCGACCAGGTGCAGGAGATGAAGTGCAAATTCCAAGCACAAGGCTCAGAGCGTGGAGCTGGAAAAGGTCAAGGCAGAGCTCCGTGGAAAGCAGATCCATGTGAACGCATCTCGAGACTCCGAGAAGGAGCTGCTAGGCGCTCTCATGGCGCATGCATCTTACCTGCTGACGGCCGGCGAGGCTGCGAGCGAAAGAAGCGACCAGAAGCTCCCGCAGGAGTTGGATGTGGTGCAGGCGCAGAAGCCTGTGAAGGAATTGAAGAGAGAGTTGCCGATTCAGATTGCAGCCCGTGAGGCTGCAGAGCTCCGGCAGGAGCTGGAGGATCTGAAGCATAGGCTGGAGCATGAGGAAGCTGTGCATGAGCTGCAACATGCATCACTCATCAAATTGCACAATCGCCATACAGCCTTTGAGGCTGAAGTAGCACATTTTTTGCAAAAGCTAGGACAGAGGCATCCTGACCGTGCATGTGATTTCGCATCAACATGTGGAGATGCACATGCGAGCTGACAGCCTCCGAAAGTTAATGGAGCTTGACTTGCATCCGTTGATGCCCTGTGTCTTTGTTCTGTAGGCAAGAAGCTTCAAGAGCCGCTGCTCTTGCCGACGATCGCCGTCAACTGCCTGTCACAGCTCAAACTCGTTTTGCAATGTTCAATCACTGCGTCTCACCAAGCGGGTGCTTCGCGTAAACGCCAGCGCGCTCTCTGAGGTTTTGCCATTGCCGGCCGCACAAACCACTGCGTTGCCAGCTGACTGCTAGTTTTTGTTGAATTTGTGATCTGGTCGCACTGCGTCTAAGTTCCCAGTAATCTTACTGGTTAATATACCACCTGAGCCCTCAGGTGATGGTCTGGCTCTTTACGTTCCTAGCGCCCATCGTCATCAATGGAATCATCTTCGAGCAGCTGCTGAGGCAGGGATTGCCGTTAGTTTGACTTGGTTTTTGTGGGTTGTGGTCTGAGTCTGTGACTTTCTGTTTTCAGCATGAGTGTGGCTTTAGGCTTCAGGTTTTGCAAGATGTGGTTCCAGAGGTACATTTCGTTGTGGCTCCAGTGTCGACATCTAGGATGTGGCGAGATCGGATTGGACTTGGTGCGAAAGCCACAAAGTCGAAGACCAATGGCATCCAATGGCCTCAAACCCAAATCTCAACGCCCCACCTAAAATTGTCTTCGCCGCCCGGCAGGACCGTCGCCAGCTTCACGGTGGTCTTGTGCTTCCACACGCTTAAGAACACCAGCGACGTCATGGAGGGCGGCGGTATAGAGTTGACGATCAATGTGTTCAGCCCTATATAAGAACTGAGTTCAATCTTGGGTCGTGGCTGCCCCATAACTGCTCATCCTTGTGCCAGGATCCGTACCTTCCTTATGATCCAAACGCGCCTCGGAGGGTCTGAATTCAGCATGAAAACCAGACTATCTGAACGTCTCGCTGATGCTTCACCAGCTGCCTAAGTCCATGCATGAGTGCAAGCTTGGAGGCTCATTGTTAGACCAGGTCGATCGGTTCTGGAATTTCTCGCAGCTGCAAGTGCTGTTGGTTCTGTCGGACAGGCTGCTGATACGCACAACGTTCTCACGGGTGCGATGTGATAGTGCTCCTTCTTCGGAGTGAGTGAGTGACTGAGTGAGTGAGTGGGTGACTGAGTGACTGAGGGAGTGAGTGAGTGATCGTCACAGTTCCAGGATCAGAGCAACTGCACTGTGAATAGTACCTGTCATGTTTGAAGTCGGCGTGCCAAACAGAATCAGGATATACTGATATACGTATTGTTACTGATGGATGGGGTGGTGGCGCTGTCAAGAAGAATCACAGTAGCCAGTGTATCGGTTGGCCGATAAGTAGCGGCCATGGAAAGTTGACGAGCGGTGACAGTCAGTGACAGCAGGAGTGGCGGTGATAGTACTGCTATCAAACATTCAGTCGGGAGAATGCTTGGAACCCATTTGGAGCCGTGGTAGAACCTTTTTTCAATATGCCAGAACCCTTACAGTACAGAGCCTAGAGCCCTTTTCGAACCGTCTATACCTTCACCTTTACAAGAACCCTTACAAGAACCTTATAAGCCTTATATCAAAGGGAGCCGCAAAGGAAGTGCTAAGCCACAACGGAAGCTTACTATAATCTAAATACGGTACTCTAAAACTCGATTCTAAGTACTATCAAGGCCTTCACGTTACTTTAAGGTATCCCAAAACCCTCTTCTAGTTATGTTTTTGGGCCCGCTTTCTACTTATACCATAGCCTTAATAAGGTCTCAGTTATCAAGGCCCCTTATACTCGGATAGTGGCCCAAGGATCTTCCGCTGGTTTCATGGCAGCGCTCCGTGAACGCCCGGCTTTTGTCCTTCGGGCAAGTGCCAGCGGAGGAGGCAGAACCCATACAGGAAGGCCTGGCTTCGGGGTGTAGGCTTTAGGGTTTAGGGGATTTAGGGGTGTTTTGGCGTGTATAGTTATACATACATATATTTATGCACATATTCATATACATATACACAGGCATATACAGACATACATACAGGGTTCGCAACAGGTCTTCGTGGGGTTTCGAGCATCAGGCTTCGGAGATTTCTTCGGGCACGAGGCTTCGTGCGGGCATCAAAGCATGGCGTGCCTGCTAACTCCCGGACCACACCTCTGCCTGAATGCTCCGGGGCAGTGATGAGCATGTTCATGGGCTTCACAGGTGCCCTGAAAAGGATCCAACATGTTCTCTGCTTCGCAGTCCTGCTGGTACATTCTCATGAACTACTTAGGTTTCTTTTCGTCATCAACAAAGGTCCCACTGACCACGTTCGGTTTTAGGCAGCCTGCGCAACATGTTTTGTGTGTCGCGGGCTACTTCGAATTAGTATCCTAGGGCATTACGTCTACTGCTCTCTGGTTGCTGTAGGATTGCTCAGTGCTTCTGCAGGTATTGTCAGCTTTGTTGCAGAATCATCGAACCCAACCCGGAGAATCGGAACCAATGGATCCTAGGGCTGTGGAACAAAGACATGCTTGCCGTGAAAGATTCTCGTTTTAATGTAGAGTCGCTTTCCTGCTGCCGCGACGAGAAAGCCGACCGAGCCCATGAGATGCCAGTCATGCCTATCTTCCTCTCCCGCTACCTGTTCTCTCTTCCTTGCCCAATGTTTCTGATGTCCTTGACTTGCCAGTTGTTCTGGATGGGAGCGAGAAGCTCGCGAGCCTGAGCTTGGAGGCCTTTCGGGAGCTGGGCGAAGCGGGCGTTGACTTTAGTTGCAGGGCAGAAAGAACAGCGAAGCTGTGGAATGATGCGTTACCTGTAGACTGGATTTGTTTACAGCGATCTGGTGTTTGCCCCCAACTGAACCTCATGACAGCGGGCCATTAGTGGTAGTCCTGTTTCTGCAGTGGCTGGCCCCCAAAAAACATTAAACCGTACAAAGCCCCAGAGGCAGCAAAGCCAGCTTCGCTACGTACAGCCGGACTCGAGTTCTTTCTCTGTGCTCTTCTGTGGACAGGGAGTGAAGGTCTCGGTGGCCGCTCAGCCGAAGGTGCAGCAGCAAGAGCAAGTGCCTGAGGCGCCATCGGGCATTTCTGACCCTAATCTCAGAGCCTTTGAGTCATGAAGCTTGGGTTTTTTACCGTTTCTGCGGGGGTGAGGGCTGCAAACTCTGCATGCCTGATGGCGGAAGTAGCAGCTCTTGGTAGGGACGCAGGAGCGGGCCCTCCAAAGCCAGCATCAATTAAGAATCAAGTGTCGTAGGTGGGTCAGCATGTATGAAGGCTCCTGCATCACTTACATACGACCAATCCTAAACGCTAAACCCCAACCCTAAGCTGCGTTTTTTTCAGCGCAGTAGTAGTAGTAGTAGTCGTAGTCGTAGTAGTAGTAGTAGTAGTAGTAGTAGTAGTAATAGTAGTAGTAGTAGTAGTAGTAGTAGTCAAAATATTCATAACCACAATACGAAGAGAAACCCGTGTAAACATCAGTATAACACTAGTAGCAATGTGAGCAGGTGCCGGTGAAGGTGCCGCACGCTCGGCAGGCCCTCAATGGAGAGTTTGGAACTTCGAGCCAGGCGTTTACGGTTTAGAGGTTTAGGGGCTTTGGGTTTTAGGGTTTAGGCATGTTGAGGGTTCGGAGCCTTCTCATTCGCCTGGATCGGGAGGGTAGGTCTGCGCCACAGAGACCCTCTGAAAAGATTTCAGGAACCCCTTAAACCCTAAACCCTAAACCCTTGCAGTGTATTATTCACCTGCAGCCCCTAGGACTTCTTAAGCTATCCTGGAAGGCGACTGAGAATATATTTGTGTAGAGCCACTAAACTTTTGACACCCCAAAAAAAACGTCAACAGAGGCGTAACGAAGGGGTGTTCCAAGAAACCCGGTCCCTGCGACTGTTGTAGTTTCTGTACGGTTCAGTCAGCGAAAGCCACCTAAACCAGCTACAAAAGGAACTTGCTTCCGAAGCTCAGAACTCAAAGTCCTGCATTTAAGCCTAAGCCCATCCAAACCTAAACCCGAAACCCGCACACCGCTGAACCCTAATCTCATTTTTCCGCAAACTCCCCTTCACTGAACTGCCCACAGGAACCCTTCAGAACCGCATTACATTAAGTCAAATTATATTCCATATATAATATTACATTATATTATATGTGAGACCTCTATATGGAGCCCTTAAACCCTTAGTCCCGAACGCCTAAACTCTAATGCCCTCATTCCAGTAGCTAGCCTTAGACGGAAACCTTACACCGTTAAACCCCAAACCCAAAACCCAAGAAACCCTGAACCTCGAGCCCTCCGCATCCCTCCGCCCGAAGATTTGAAGCCCATTTCAGGCCCCCGTGGGAGCCAGTTGTATGGATTGCCTCCCTGTCTCCTGTCCGCAGTTTAGGGGCTTTAGGGTTGGTCGGGTCTAGGGTCTTTTAGGGTTTTGGGAGGTCTCCTGGCAGTAGCTTGTAGCTTCTTGCTCTTGCACGACTGCCTCAGAAGTCGCCACGCCACGTTTTTGCAGATGTGGACTCCCAGGTCACCTTCGGGATTGGGCACCTGCACTCCACTCACCGCTCCCGCTCCCGCTTCCCATAGCGGCAAGAAAGCACAAGGAAGCAGCCTGTGCTTGCATTGGGCATGAGAGCTCATCTGTTCACAGTGAGAAGGTAGAGTCACATGCTTTGTGGAGGACATTGAAATTAGGAAACAGATCCTTGGGCTTCCTTGCACTGGCAAAGCCAAGCAAGAGCTCAAAGCAAGCGACGTGTACCTTTGCACAAAAAGGGGTACCAGGATCCCTCAGGAAGGGCTGTTCTGCTGCTTTTGAAACCTGGACTGCCAGCTTCTCTTCTGACCCGGATCCGCATGTTTTCTGACTTTCTTTCTGGAGGTGGTGGTGATGACGTCCCGGCACGCCGACTGTGCTGCGGAGGCCGACGGCGGGTAGGTGTCCCACAAGGCCCAGACCCATAACGACCCCAAAGCCCAACTCCTAAACCGCTTCAGGTTGAGAAAGTTGGTGGCCGCTTGGCAGCCTCTTGAATTCACACAGCAGCAGGGCGATTCAGTGCGGTCTGCGATGGTGCACGAAGGTTTCCAGTGTAGCCCAGGTGACTATGCACGGGGATGGCTGCAGCAATCATGCCTACGACCTCTACCTGCGCCTGTCATCGCAGGCCCACCTTAGCCTTAACATCGAATCTCTTTTATCTGTTATGTATGCCTTCTGTCTCTGGCAACATGGGCAGGTGTCTGTTGCTTCTGCCGTCGAGCGCTTACCCAGGTGCGCAGTGCCCGAGTTTAGCAGAGTTCCTGGGTGCAATCTGTAACACTGTCCGTGGAGCGCAGGAGAGAAGTGTGCAGGTGGCCATAAACCCTGAACCCCAAGCCCCCTAAGGCCCAAGCCCTAAACCCTAAACCCCAAACCCCCTAAAGCCCAAGCCCCAAACCCTAACACAGTGACAGTGGAGGGCGAGACGGAGAGCCCACAGGATGCCTTCACACGGGGCGGCCGCAGAAAGCTCAGGTGCCATGCTGGAGACGCGATGCTTGAAGGTCTTACGGGGTTACAGGGTTTTAGGGGTTTAGGGTTTTAGGGTGTGGAGTTTAGGGTGTGGAGTTTAGGGTTTGGAGTTTAGGGGTTTAGTGTGTGGAGTTCAGGGTCTAGGCATGTCTAGGCTTTACCCTTGAAGCCCTCGTTTCTGAACCATGTCGAAGCCCAACACTCTACAACATGAGCTTGAAATCCGACACCCGAAGCCCTAAACCCTAAACCTTCGAGACTCCTAGAACACGAGCTTTAAATCCCAAGCCCGAAACCCTAAACCGACTCCAAGCTTCATGTCTTAAGTTCGCCCGAACGCTTCGGCAGTCCCTCCTTGGACTTCTGCCCGTCCTCACCGCCAGGGCGGGACTGCCAACGATGTGTGAGGCCCGGGATGGGCATGGATGTCTTAATATAGGGGCCTAAACGACTGCCTATATTATTTTTGGGGGTCCTTACGATAAGTATAAGTATAATATACCCCCCAAACCGCCTATATTATTTTGGGGGTTCCTTACATGATAATTATAGCAGAATATACCCCCCAAAGCCCTGTTCTAATTATTATGGCCCCTATGTGAGGGAGTTTGGGATCCTGAGCCTTCGGAGCTTAGGTAAGGGGTTCAAGGACTCGAGGGAACGAGGGTTCAGTGAAGTTCATGGCTTCATGGGGGCCCGTGATTCACACACAGCTTTTCCTTTCCTTTCAGCACCACACTGCATCCATGTGGATAACTTAACATAATAGTGTTTGTTGCAATGACATGACGTGGCAGGGCTCTATCCCGTGCTGATGGGGCGGGTCCAACCTTGCTTTGGGCACCCTTTCCTTTGGATTCCTACTCTGACCCTCATCTGACGTAGGCCTTGTCATTCCTTGTTTATGGACGCGGGGTCTACACCAGGGTTTCGAGCATCACGGAGGCCTGCGCGTTGGGAGCCGCCGAGAGGATCGGGAATTTTGTGCAACTGGAAGCCTCGAAGCGCGGTCGCTCTTTGGGGTTTAGGGCTAACTTGGGTTTGAGGGTTCCGGGTTTAGAGGGGTGCAGGGTGACTTGGGGTGTATGGCCATGAAGTGCCTTGAATCAAGATGTGATTGGCCTATTCGTTCGGTGCAAAATTTGCATGAGCTCGGGCGCTGCAGACAAGTAGAGTAGGCCCAGATACCTGAGCAGCGGGTTGAACGCATTACCGCAGGAAATCAACCGGGACCGGTCACTCCATACTGAACTGGCCGGGCTCTCAGCAAAGCGTTGCTGCGACAGCTTGGTGAGGCTCCTCGTACGCAAGCAGCTGCAGTGCAAGGTACACCCTCACTGCGATTGTGGGTGCTTCCCTGGCATTTGTAT